CAGGAGTTAAAAAGGTACATCCTTCACCAGGATGCAGAAGAATATAGAATAGAATTTCTATTCTAAACAATGATATACTTATTGAATTTATTGCTTTCTTGTTGCTAGTAAGGAACAAACACTCTAAAGTTTTTGAGCAGAAGTAACCAGAATAATTAAATATATTTTGTTTCCATTGCATCCATTTTGATGGGGCTTCCAATTTTGATGGGGCTTCCAAAAATATTAGGAAAGAAAGATGAGGAGAAACAGATCTTTAAGTCCTGATCCATTGCACATTTTTAAAGCAAATTTTAAAGTATTTGCATAATATGAATTTACTATCTGATCAAGTTTAGATATGGTGGAACTCTAATGCTTAATAGATAAAAAAGATGATTCATTTGTTGTTTTCTGATATGCAAGTTGGTAAACAGATCAACATATGCCTTGTCTTGAAATCATATGCACTATCCTGGTGGGCCCACCATCTAATCAGAGATATAGTGAGGGTACAAGAAAGAGAGTATATGCAATCCCATGGTGACTCAATAATGCAGAAAATGCCCTTTGCACATACTCAGAAACTGCTTCTTTGATGTTATTTCTTTACGTTTCCTAGCTAGGTCCTTGAGGCAGAAGGCTAAATTGAACCATGCAGGGGATTAATTTGAGCAAGGATTCGTCAGGACTCACTTTGTTTTTAATGCCAAAGTACAGCATCAAAATATATGAAATAATTATGAAGGTAGTGCCTTAGAAAACATGCAGATTTTCTTCAATTCATGCACATTAACAGATTTTTCTGCACTTGGTTGATGAATACTTGTGGAATGCACTCCTCCGTAAAATCCGCTGGGTTCCAACACTGAAATATTTTCAGTGTCAGGAAAGGGTTTCAGGGGCATACTGAGATGTAGGGAGGAGAGGAAATGGGTATGCATCGTATCTTGACATCAACCTCAACCTCCTTCCCTTTCCACTGAAGCACCACTTGGCCAAATTCCAAATGGCCAAAACTGGCTAACTACTTCACAGAGCAGAAGGAGCATGGAGGTGACCTTTGCATGAGTTTGGAGCATTAGGGACAGCCCCAATGGACTGTATCTTAAGAAAGTGAAATACCAACAGTTGGATGTGTGAACTTATTGCATTGAAAAACATTATGTTCAATATGAGATCACACAAAATCTGTACCTGAGGTTTGCATTTTCTAACAGTCCATTAACACAGGATTCCTCCAAACAAGGCTTTTATTGTGCAATTGCCCTGTCTCATTCATGGAAATTCACATGTTGTCACATTCAATTTGTAGCCTGCCACTTCCTCTGTCTCTTTTCTTACTAGAAAAATAATCTGTTAAGTAGAATAATTTGGAATTGCTGTGCAATGTCTTTTGACTGTAAGTGCTAGGAGTCTTCCATCTGGAATCACCCACAGGCAAATTGTGATACTACATCATCATGTGATGAACATGGATGTACAAAGCAGCCCTAAATAACAATGACAGTCAATTTACATAAAATTCAGAGAAAGAGCTTCCAGTTAGAGGTTTCATGGATTCTAGTTAAGTTTCAATGCTAGCACCTCTTCTTTGGAAATACATTTTTCATCTCAAAGTTCTCAACATAATGAGTAGGAGGGAGCCCAAGTTATCCTTTTAAAAGGTAGAGGTTCCTTTGCTTCTACTTGAGCTCGGCCATACAGGTGGGTTGTCCATAGCATCAGAGCAAGCTATAGTAATAACAGCCCAAGCAAAACCAGGCTGAGCAATGGGGGTGGGAATGAAAGAAGCAAAGAGAGTGTCAGGCAGTTCCTAATATTTCAGAGAAAGGAGGACGGAATCATTCCACAACAGGATTTGAAACTGATCAACTCTCTCACCCAGCCAGCCAGAGCAGCCGGTTAAGTCTCTGTGGCTGTCAGCTTAAGTCTGCCGCTGGTTCCTGTGGGGTAGGGGAGTTAAATAGGACACCGACTCAGAGAGGAGCAAGCCTGTTTGCTCAGAATAAAGGAGGCAGAGAAAAAGAGGAAAGAAGGTAGAATTTGGCAAGAACCCAGGCAGGAAAGGAGAGCAGCTCCAGGTAAGTGCTCTTGTTTTGGGCTGACGAAGAGGAGGAGATAGAAAGTGGATTTCCAAAAGGTGCTTCAAAAGGTGGTTAAGAGCCCTGGGGTGGGAGCCCTGCACTCTGTCAGGCATAAAGAGACTTGAAGCTTTACCTTTTGCAAAATGGTACAAAGACAGCCTTCAATTCAATTTTTAAAGGTGCCATATGTCTCTGTGTGTGTGCATGCTTGGGGGGGGGAGCAGATCTTTTGTCAATCTTCTTAATATCTTTCACCTCGGCATCCTCGTGTCAGATTATCTCTCTCAAAAGCTTTCACGAACTGCACCAAATCCTCTCCTCTGTGCTGTGTAAATTTAAGAGCCTTTGGGAGGATTTGATTGCCCATCAAAATAAATGAATGAGAGGAGGGGGAGGAGGGGAAAGTGATGGATGTGGACACAGCTTCAGGCACATTATACAAATCTAAAAATAAAGGCAAACGGGAGACAAAACATCCTCCAGGAGCTGACGGGAGAAATAAGGAAGGCAGTGGGGAGGAAGAGGAAAAGGAGACCCGATTCTAGTGGGCATTCTCATCTACCTAAGCCAACAGAGGGTGGGTGGGATGCAAAAGTGCCCCCTGATTGAACCTGGAAGAGCAAAAGGAGGAGCTGTAATGATGCTTCACAGAAAGAGTGACCCCTCCCCCCATTCCTTTCCCTGCTTTTGGTAGCTGAAGGGCAGGGGGAGGACCTGTTGTCATGGTGTCTCATGATGATTATCAGGGGACAAAACCGATGGCTATGGGAATTTCTAATTAAGATGCCTGCATAGTCATACACAAACCTCCTGTATATTAAAAGGCAATTCCTGTCAATCCCCTACTACTTCATAACCCCTTCCTTTCATTCTTTTCCTCAGCTGCTGCATTATTAAGATTTCAATAACCACCCCCACTGGATATGGGCATCCTGACTGCAGTCAATAAATTCACTTTACCATTCTGAAAGGATGAGGGAGGGAGGCAGCACAAAAGACCCCCAAGTCTGTTCCAAGAGGAATTGCCATACACATTTTATTTACTAATTTCCTCCTGGGGCTCTGAAGCATTGATTGCAGTGCTTCTCCTCTCTGTCAGCCACACACTGTATGTCCAACACCATGGCTGACCATAGGCAAATTGTTGGGTTAGATTGCACATTTTGGAAGTAAGAGATTTTATCGTCAAACTTATTTGAAATGCTGGAGACATGTGACATAGTCTTGGATCATGAGAAATAATCCTAGTGTGTTCATCCTTGATTTTTCTATATCTGATTACTGTACATTGCCCGAACTATTGAAAAGCATGTTACTTAAAGTGATATTGAAAAGTCTGTCTGTGGTATTACATCTATGATGGATGATCACTTGGTGTTGTAGACATCAAATAGGATGCTGATACATGGTCAGACCAAGAGTCCAGCTAACTTAGTACAGTTTACTCTAAGTGGAGATGGTTGTTCAGGGTTCATGTAGGAGTCTTTCATTGCCCTACCTGGAAATAACAAGAATTGAACCTACAACCTTCTTCAGGCAACACATGTGCCTGAAGCTATGGTGTACTCCTCTTGATGTTGCTTCTAAGCATATGAAGGAGGAGTTCCCTTGCCAGTAAGTAGTTGTGCACATCTGGAATGAGAATCAGAATGTTCAGGTGAGAAGATTTAGCTTTCAGGCAGGCATAAAGGTGGCTGGAACCTTTCTTACTGCAAATTAAAAGAGGTGTTCAAGACCCTGTACAAGGTATCTTGATTTCATTAACAAGGCATCACTCCCTCAGAAGTGGCTTTATGTGAATATACACAAGAGTGGGGAAGCCTTTGCAGTTGAAAAAGGGAGTTGGGGTTGAATAGACTTTTCCTTCAGTTGAGGTGGGGGTGGGGGAACCCTGCCAGTAAGGAATCCCATAGTACCAGTCATACCCTGAACTTAAAACATAGACAAACTATATGGAAGACAGTCATATGGCAGATTCAGATGTTCCCTAGAGGCCTCCCCATATCACTCCATTCTGTATGATGTTGCCTGCTATGAAGGCAAGTGCTTGCCAACACAGCTTCAGTTGACAGTGCCAGGGTTCTGATAGAAAATACTACTTCAGTTGTTTTGCACAATTAGTTCCCTGCCTCAATGAATGCACACAAGTTCCTTTATTGTTGCATGTAATCTGCATGTCTCCCAAGCTGTTCTTTTTCAAGGACACTATTTTTTCACTTCACGACACTTTTATTACATGAATGCAATGTTTCCTTTAATCAGCACATCTATTGCCTTTCCAATTTTTGTCCAGAACATGAGGTACAGGGAATATTTGAGATGCATCCTGGATATTGTTTGTTATACATATTGCTATCAACAAGGCAGTACAAGCCCCTCCCACCCACTTCTATGTCTGAACTTCGTCTAACGTTTAAAATATAGGCTGTGACTTCCCCACTGCAAAAATCCAATTCATCTGCACTAATCTAGCAGAGAATGACATCTGATCAGTACACCTTGGCTGTTTCTAGTCACGTTTGTGGCAAATTAAAACTTACTTGTATCATATCTAGGAGTAAAGAAGACTGGTCTTTTAGCTGTTCCTTCTTTTACTACCTAGTCCTCTTCCTTCCTCTAGCAATAACTACAAGACAATAAGCTGGTACCAAGCCATCTCAGAATCCTCAGAGAAGTTGCTAGGATTGCTCTAAGGAGCCTTGTGTAAGTAAACCTACCTAGCACCATTCTGGAGGCACTCCTACTGCCTGGCAATCCTCCATGGGTACCCTTAAAACACACTGTTCAAAGTGGCCTCACTTTGTCTCATCAGCTTGGACAGCTTATTTCATGAAGGTCTCTTTCAGACCCAGATATGCTTCTGTTAGACACCTGACAGCCATATGCTTTTTGCTCTGCTTTTGTCTTCTAGATTAGCCAGATTGCTGTTCAGTCCTGAAAAAAGGGTGCCAGCCTGGCTGTCAGGCATAAGATACCGTGGGGAAAACAGCAACCATTATGTTGTCTCTGAGTAGAGGCTACTGGTGGAACAACAGGCTTTTCTTGACATGGAGAGAAACTAGCTGTAAGTATTGTTCATACTGTTTGCTAAACAGGAACCCAACCCATGATTCTGAAATAAGGGGAAAGGAAGAAATGGCTTGTTGGTTTGTTGTTTTACTTTCGAAGTGGGGATCCTAATCTAGCTCTCAGATTATTTCTGTGAGGAAGGAAAGAGTATGAGAACAGTGGTTACCATCTTGCTTCTAATGACAAAAGGATACATAGCATGTATGGGAATTTTGAGCACCTTTCATAATCAGTGCTTTAAAAAAGATATTGTATTTTATTATCACACCAACCCAACATTATACTTTTTCTGTGGAGACTCAAACCCTTACCATTTTGTAGTGGTAAGGCCACACTCTCAAAGGAGAAAGCCTAGAAGTTATGTTCTTTTGTGGTAGCAACAGATGGTCAATAATATACATCTAGAAAACTACATCTATTCATGAGAGCCATACCCTATATATTCATCAAGCCAGTCAAATTAAATGGCCATTCTAAGAGCCATGCTCAGATGCTTCAAATGGCTACTTCCTATTTCACCGGCCATATTAACCATCTTACATATATCAAACACAAAAGGACACTTGGTGTCATCTGGGATGCATCCTATGATGGACTGATTCTACTAAATTGTTCCTTTTGGTAATTCTGGTGGTGTAAGGTCAGAGAAGCTATGGTGTGTTACAGGGTATAGAAAGTTCTCAACAGCAGCAGTGGAGCACTTACACATATAGCAAAATCCACGCATGCATACCTCAACTACTCTTTTCATCTAATAGCTTCCAAATGAATTTATCTTGTTCATTGTCTCAATAAAGAATCTTCACTGAAGCAACAACTCCAGAATCTAGGAATGTGGGGATCCCAAATTAGGAGCAGTAGAACTGAAAGGCAGCCTGCAAGCACTTCAATGAACCACCTAGCAATCTCTGCAGTGCATTATGAAAAGGGTTCATTAATGAGGATACATGCAGTTAAGCTAGCAGGGGGTATACACTCTAACAAAAAGTGTGACTAGGGGTCAGAATATAAGATGTCAATGAAATTTGCTGAGGGAATTATTTCCTACTGGCTGGAAGCCTTGCCTTTGTTATATACTCTTGCCTCCTAGATTGCTATTATAAATTATTGACTCTAAATGTGACTGAGCTCCATTCTAATCTTATATTCCTGGATCATCTTACCAGAGTTCTGGACATTCCACAAAGTAACATTACCTTTACATGACATAAGAGCATACAGTATGCTGAATATTTCACTTAGACTATTGTTTAGTAGCTACTGCTGCTTTTCATGGGAATGAAATCTATCTAGCTGCTCTGCTGAGCATCCACAAGTAAAATGGCTTTTGAGACCTGAATGCATATACCTGTATCCCTACTAAATCACACCATGGTATTACTATTGTCTTTGCACAGCTATTATGTTGAAACTTGTGCTTCCTCAGCAGCTTAAGTAACAGGGATCCTCCCTCTCTTGGCCATTCTTCCAGCAGTAGTGCTCTGATATAAATTAAACTCCTGAACAAACTCAGATATTTGAAATAGGCTGCAGTATGCCTTCTCACAGGAACTCAGCCAGGGGCTAACAGATGGGAAGGCATTTGATTAAACATAGAAAAGTGTCACCCATATAGCCTTACCTGACATATTCTCACCTTTCTCTGTACACGACGTAGCTAAATGTTCTCTCATCATCACAGATATCACTGTATTATTAATATGGTACTTCTGTCAAGCATTCAAGAAAGGCAGGATCACTTGAATGACTCATGTCACTTTCCTCTTTCTTTGCTCTTTCAAGCATCATCCTACATCCATAGAGGGAGATGCCCTGAGTGAAATTAAATATTTCTAGCCAAACAATACATCCGTGCCAATAGGATCTGCTTACAGGCCACACAGCAACCACTGTGGCATCTGTGCTGTTGTCTCTGACCTCAGTTTGATACAGCAATCATTGTAACATCTATGCTATTGACCCAGACTGCAGCTTGATAGGAAGGCAGCAGTGTGGTATGCTAGTGTGCTACAGACCTCACTTGAGGTCTCCTCACGGTGCTTATGGACACCTCACTTGGTGACAGACAGGTTCCTTGTCCCTCTCAATTTATTTGAAACATGTTTCATGTATGCATGCTGCCTGGTTTGTTTTGGTGTGGTACGTGTAGAGCGGTGGCTAGGTTTTGTGCATGCATATGGTGTCTTGGTTGGGTTGTGTGTGTGTGTGTGTGTGTCTGTGTGTCTGTGAAAGAGAGAAAAGCTAGGGGAGTGTGTGTGCGTAGCTTTTCCTTTTTGTGTGCGTGTCACAAGGGGTGTTGTGGTACAGTGTGTTTTACTTCTGTGTGTTTCTCTAAACATTGCCAGTTTGCCTTCTATGAAATGGGTATTTCGTTCTATGTTGTGTTAGCGAATATGTAACTTGGCATCCTACCCCTGCCTTGTGCTAAGTTTCATGGCCAAGTTATTGTCCCTGAGCCTTCTCAGTTTCTATTCTGTGAAATGGGTGTTGGAACAGAAAACTCTGGGCTGAAAAGACTGGTTTTGTGTTTTGGATCTCAGACTCTGCCTCCCACTTATAGGTCTTGAGCACATTGTTTTTCTTTTAGCCTCAGCAGTTTGCCTCCTAAGAAATGGATGTTTTTGTAACTGAGCACATTCACCATGGCAACCATTTTGAGAAAGCACCCACAACACTATCAGAATTCCAAATTTGCCCAAAGGCCACAAAAGGTTGGGGAACCCAACCTATAACCTTCAGTTAGGAAAGTTATTGCGGAAGTAATAAACAGCACCTAATGGTCTTAGTAAATGTTAATTCATTTAACTGAGAAAAAAGATTATGATTAAGATGAGAAGATCTGCTTTTTCTTATGGTTCTGTTACTCCTTTGTGCAAAGCGGATGGCAGGGCATTAATTTTTTAGGGAATTGTATCTTTGGAACTTGATGCTTGCTGTGCTTCTTCCTTTGAATCCTTTGATGACCTTTAGGAAATGGTGCAAGACTATATTGTTAGGCTGCCTCATCTCACCTTTTGGCCTTTATGTCGGTATTAGTCATTTAGTATGTATTATGGTAACATACAGACCACATTTTAACAGCTGCCAAATATATATTAAAAGAAAGCACCTGCTGGAGTCAAAACCACCTCCATCTATTAAAAATACAATTCTGAAGCAAACATATGGAAAGGATAATTTTTGCTCTAAAATGAATCCCTTAATGTTATCAAGTTAAATATTAACAGAATTCTTCTTTAATACATTTTATACCACCCAATAGCCAAAGCATTCAGGGTTGTTTACAAAGATTAAATCTGTTAATCTTACTAACAGACATAACATAAACACAGTTTTAACAATCAACAATAAGAGATCCCAAGATCTAATTAAAAATCTCATTACAGACTGCCAAATGTCTGAGAGTTGAGGAAGGTCCTCATTGGGGATCATTTCATAATGAAGGGGCTACCACTGAGAAAGTCCTTTTGCTTGTAGCCAACCTCTGAATGTCCCTTCACAGGAGGCACAAGGAGAAAGGCCTTAGATCATGACAGAAAGTGATGATTTAGAAAGAACTGTCAATTCTCTACTCTAGCTTTGGACGATTCATCAACCATGCTTTCATTGTATCAGAGCAGTTTGGTATCTTGCAGCAAAGCCTACGGAGGTACACTAGCAATTCTTTCCAATGCTAGTTAAGGGATGTCTTCCTTAGCCCTGCTAACTTATAAAAAGCTGAAAGGAAGTCCACAGTGGGAATTCAACTGGCAAGGATTTATCCGTGGGAAAGCTCATTTGGCTACCAAGCTGATCATATTTTTTTTTAAGGACAGGTTTGTTTTGTTTTGTTTTTTGTTTTGAAGCGGAAGCACTGATGTCCATCTCGATACTTCAGGTTAAACAACAAACTTACAACTGGTGATGCAGAACTGGAACTGAGTATGTTAAGACCAGGATGTGGATTCTTTTAAAAAGACATTGTTGTGATGATGCTACTTCTGCATCAGGCTACAATGTAAGGCAAAATGCATACATGAAATTGTGTATACATTCAATCACTGAAAATATTTTTATATGTCTTTGTTTTTGTTTCTGTCTTTTGAAGTGCTTGCTTGCTGGCTTTCATTCTGTGCAGCAGAGTCCCTCATTACTTGCCCATCCTCTTGCAAATGCAACAGTGGTACTCTGGAGGTGGACTGTAGTGGCTTGGGCCTTTCATCCATACCCTTGGACATACCTACAAATACCAGGACCTTCCTTTTCCTCAACAACCAGCTAAACAACTTGCAAGGACAAGCTTTTTCCAATCTGTCTGCCCTCCAGAGACTGGATCTTTCCAACAACTTCTTAGATCAACTTCCTGAGAATGTTTTCAGAGACCTAGTGAACCTTACTGAGTTGCAGCTGAGAAACAACAGCATCAGGAGTTTGGACAAAGATCTTCTGCAGAACAGTGTCCTCCTACGTCAGTTGGATCTCTCCATCAATGGGCTAGCTCAAATCCCCTCAGGAATCTTTGATGACTTGCCCTCTCTCCGCTGGCTGTCCCTCAGGTCAAACCGCCTGCAGAATTTGGACAGGGTGACCTTTGAGCCATTAGTCAGCCTGCAGCAGTTGGAAGTGGGTGACAACCCCTGGGAATGTGACTGCAACCTGAGAGATTTCAAATACTGGATGGAATGGTTCTCTTATCGAGGTAGGTACCCTTTGAAAAAGGAACAAATGTTGGTATCAAAGATTATCTGCTGATAGTCTTTGTTGGCTTTGAGAGCTGAAAAGGAGCAGCTAGATAGAAAATATCAGGTTGACCTAAATTCTTGCTTTCTCAACCAGGAGAATAGTCATGCTACATTTTAATCCTGCTATGTTTTGCCACAGTAGTATGTTGTAGCATGGACTGCAAGTGCCTTCTTAACCAAAGTACTTTTTTGGCAGATACAGACAATTATTCAGTCTTCTAGAAGTAAATTTATTTTGAGGGATCAAGCAAAGAAGGGGTGAAAGTTCTTTTGGTAATGTGTAGTTTCTGAACTTCCTGATTGCAAATCACCACACTAGGAAAAGAAAGCTAGAATGTAAACCTAATGACATGGAGCACATTCAAATATTTTCCATAAAAAGGTAATTTTACTGGTGCTGAACCCCAAACAACATAGGGAAAAGACCAGCCATTTTATGGGTTTTAGCCTTTACACTTTTAAAATTCTGGCTTAGCATTACTACTTTACTGTATGAAGAGTAACAGAGATTTTAGTCTTTTAATGGGAATTCACTCTTTACTTCGGCAGAGTTAGGGGACTAGCCACCATAATTTTGTGTCCAAGTCTTATCTCAGAGGTCATTGATACTGTGCTAATTGGCAGTACTTTGGGTCCATTAATTGGTAATGTCTTTGATATTACTGTGTTGGAATTATTAAGTATTTCTAATTGTTAATGCACCATCTCCTGCAGTACAAGAGCTGTAATTTTGCTGCCATTTTGGTACTAGCTAATTGTGCGTGTGTGCACATGTGTATATGTGATTTTAATTATTAGAATTCAAACACTTCTTCTAAGTCACCGAGGGAGCACAGTTTTGGGCCAATGGCAAGTTAAACATCTTTGTAAGTTTTTAGTGGAGAGAAAGCCTATTAGTAATGTAAAGGGTCATTCAATTTGTATTGTGTTGAAATACAAAGCAAAGGATGGCTTGAGGAAGAGAGATTTCTTGGAGCAGCAACCAATATCTCTTTGCTGATGGATACAAGGCTCTCCCATTTTAGCCACAGATTAGTCAGGAGATTCTGGTATGTTAACATTCCCTGGCTTTTGAAGTGGGCAAGTTAGAATCTCAGTGCCATCAGACCTGCTGTGTTGACACCACTGCTAGTTATAAAGCTAGAAGAGGAAAGTAATGGCTAAACTTCTATTTTCCATATCCAGAGGTGTAATTCACAAAATCAACTGACCCCATTAAGATTATCAGGTGTCTTCCACTGAAATCCCCTATCACCTAGATAAATCTCCTCTGACTTTCAAATACATTATCCCTTGTTATGCCAAGTTCCTGAATGAGTATAAGTAAAGGGAATCTGAACCCAAATATAACATTTTATTGATCGTCCACATCTGAGTTAGTGATGTTTGGGCTGAAGTGACTTGGAGATATTTAAGCAAAATAATACATGGCCTAAACTGTCTGAGGGTTGTAGGTCAACAACATGAAACTTAATCTAGGTAAGAATGAAGTATTGTTGACTGAGGTCAACGCATAAGTCTAGTTTGGATGGGGCTACTCCCTTTAAGGAACAAGTATGAATCTGGGAGAACCTAGCATTTTTTTGGGTGCTCCTGTGGCAATAATTACTCATAATCTGCTTAAGCTAGAATGCTGACTGTACTCTAAGAATATGCAGGGAACTATCTCCATGCACAGTTTAACAACTTCCAGATTAGATCACTGTAATGTACTCTCCATGTGAGCTTCCAAGGAAAAGTACCTGGAAATGTCAATTGATCCAAAATGTTGTTGAAAGATTATTAAATGGGGCTTGGCTGGGCAGACTACATAACTCTGATACTGTTCCACCTTCATTGATGGTTAGCTTTTTTCTGAGCTGGTAAACTGGTTTCAACTTTTAAAGCCCTAAACAGCCTCATGCTAGGTTGCTTTAAGAATACCTCTTCCCATATGTACAGTTCAGCATCAGAGGTCATGCTCTGTTCCCCACTACCAAAGGTTCAGTGAATGGGTAAAAGGGGCAAGGCCTTTTTAGGTTTGGAAATTTTATGGAATACCCTCCCCAGTGAAGCTCATTTGGCATCATCATTGTTCACATGTTATTACTTGGTGAACACATGGCTGTTTTAGAAAGTTTTGGGCAATAGTCTAAACAGATAATTTCTCCAGAATTTTTGTTGCTGCTGCTGTGCTGTTGTGTTTGCTGAATTTAAGCTGTTGTCATTTGTTCGATTTTCAATTTTTTGGTTTTAATTGCTTGTTGTTGAGCCATTTTTAAAAACTGAAAGAAGACCTGAACCTATTGATGCTAATAGTAGTTTTTTTCACTATAACAACAATTCGATTTATAATTCTGCATTTCTTGACCCATAATGGAATGGGTCACTCCTCTATATTTCAATATTCAGTCACAACAGCTGTACATAAATGGATTATTGCACTGAACACTGTATGGTCTTACTCCAAGATAAAGTGCTAACTACATTCATTTTTCCCTTGTGGATAGGAGGAAAAATAGACCAGCTGGCATGTACCCTGCCTAAGGAGCTGCGGGGGAAGGATATGCGGATGGTGCCCATGGAGATGTTTAACTACTGTTCCCAACTGGAGGATGAGAACAGCTCTACTGTGCTGGACAATATTGGCCCTCCTTGTAATAAGGGAAGCCCAACAGCTCCCAAGCCTAAAACAAGCCCTGACTTAGAAGAGGAGCCCAGTGTGGGGTGCCCCCAGAAGCAAAGATACCGGCCCGTCAGTGTGCGCCGGGCCATTGGCACAGTCATCATAGCTGGGGTGGTTTGTGGAATTGTGTGTATCATGATGGTAGTGGCAGCAGCATATGGTTGTATCTATGCATCTCTCATGGCTAAGTACCATCGGGAGCTGAAGAAGAGGCAACCATTAATGGGTGACACAGAGGGTGAACATGAGGAACAAAAGCAGATCTCCTCTGTGGCATGAATGCTCTTGGAAATTAATAGCAGAAGAGAACAGGATACAACAGAAGCCTATGGCCTGGGCCTTTCCATAACTTGCCAGATGTACAGATGGATTGCGCTACTGTTCAATTCATCCAATTAGTAAAATGTGCTTCTGGGTTCAAGACACCTGGCTCTGGGTTTGGTTCCTCTCACTCCCTTCTGCCCTTATGTAACTCCAAGCAAATAAACTGTAGTCAGACCTCAAGTGCTCATCATTTCTCCTCTTTGCACAAGGCAAACACTAACACTCTCATCTGGGAAAACTCATCCAACCTGACATTCTCATCTCTGCTTCAGTTCCTGATTTCTTTGCAAATTCCCATAGAATTGCAAATCTTTTACCAAAAAAAAAAAAATCACCCAAAGGCACAAGAAAATCCCTGGTAAAGTGTCCACAGACTCCATAGCTGGAGTTCCTGATTTTACTGTGAGACTCTCTTCATTCCTTACCAGCTGTATTGCTTAAAGAAAACTAGTTCACAACTGCTCTAGGACCAAGGAAGGTCTCTAACTGAGTGTACCATAGACACAGGGATCCTACTTTCAACATTATTAGAAAGGAATGAATATTGTTTAGATAAAAAGGCAGCATTGTGTAAACTCTACCTGGCATATACCATGGTCTACACAATAGAGGGTGCACTGCAGATACAAACCTATTAAGACAGGCTCACTACCCCTAAATCTATACAAACTTATTCTTATGCACACCTCTATTTTCTTCTGAACACAATTCGTAAAGAGCTTAAAATGCACCTTAAAATGTAGCTACCTCCACCCCATATGAATATTTTGGATCCTTCCAATCAAATGCATTTAAAGGTGAAGGACAGAAAGGATAGCTCAAGACTACTGAACAAGGTGAAGGAGAGGAAGAATAGGTCAAGTCTGTTAAAAGGATAATCACTTCAAAAAGTTGGAGCATCTTCTGAAAGGGAAGCAAATTTATGAGATATGAAAGAATCTTACAGTCTTTGTAGCAGAAGTGGATCTTCAGAAGGATTTAAAAAATAGCTTTTTTGACCGCAGAGTATTTGGTGGTTATGAGGAAATCATACAAATAGGAAGTCATCACCAGAATAATTAGTGTAATCATGGGTCTGATATCACATTTGCAAGGTAACAAGAGTGATTAGATGGGGAACATTAGAAAAATATTTTAAACCCACGAATGAAATATTAGGGAGTTTCAGTGCACAATGTAGGAGAAAGGGGATGTAGAACAAAAAATGTTGGCCAGTTTTTCATGTAAATGTCCAACTGATATAGGCATGCATGTATGTATTCTGAAAACCCACACAGGATTTCTTCTAAAAATATAGATAGTATCCTGGAGGCATTCATGCATACAATGCATGCATACATCCAGGCACACACAAAGACATACTTGAATACATATGTGTGTGCTCAGACATATACACTGAGTTTATGTATTCTTACTCTGGGAATCTTTCCCAATGCCACAGCATATCACATCGCCTCATGTCTTTTTAAACTGAGGGTGGAGGTGGGGGGAAGAGGGGAAGGAGAACTAACCATAAGGACTCATTTTGTATCACTGAAAGCGGGATAAAGTGCTGTCTCCAGGGGAGAGCATATATTGCCATGGTAACCTGCTCTAGCGGGTATTCCTGGGACAGGAAAATGACACTAGAGGTTGTACAGCCGCAGTTTTTGTGGATACTGTGATCCTTGTGGTCATGAGACATCTTGGCAGCTGGCCCAGGTTTAGAGGTGTCTCTTCAGCAATTCAGGAGCAGAGCCCAGCAATCACCTTAACCAGGCTTGGATCAGGTCATCCGAGTTCTTCCTTTGTCGCATTCTGAAGCCTTTAAAATGATCTTATAGTTCTTTAACTGTTGGTTTTAAATGGAAGCAATGCTTACTTTCTTTTAATTAATTTCCCAACCTGTCAGCAAACACTGGATTTGAGATTGCATCCTGAGAGCAACAGCTCTTCCATCCTATTAGCAAAATAAATAAATAAATAGTAAAAACTAAAAAAAAAACCCTACTGTATCAAAAAATGTGGAATAAGCTTCCATGAAACATTAGGGAAGCCAAAGTAGGAAACTGTGGCATCTTACTTTATGTGTATTTGCATTAATCCAGCAACAAGGCAAAGCACAAGGAGGATAGACTCTCCCTCATTATGTATCATGTATGTATTGTAAATCCTCCAATTCCCCAACAAATACCCAGCTCCACTTTGTGCTCTGCTTTGTCCCAGACTGATGGGAGGAAGTGGGCTACTAAAGACTCTAGCCAGTTGATCTGTATATCTGTATTGCTCCCAACACCCATCAAATGAGTACTAGCATTCTGCCTGATGGACATACAACTCCAAACATTCTGGCTGTATAATCTCCCCAAACGAACTTACCTCTGTAACATACTAGACAGCACAAGCATACTTGAAATGGGACTTATGTCAGAGCTGTACATGTATAGATCTCTATTTTATTTGTAAGAAGTAATGATGGCATGACTGAACAAAACAAGTGAAGTGTGCATGTGTGCTTAGGGGATGAGAAGAACTGGGGAATGGCAATTACAAGAAGAATGAGCAGAAAAAAAGATCCCCTTCCTATCCTCTATTCTCACTTTTGACAGGTTTCCCTTTGTTGCCAATAACATTTTGTTATCCATGTTATGAGTTACATCCTTGAGCTTTGTTCTGACTTATCACTGATAAAGCACAGGCTTTGCCCTGATACTTCCAGCTTGAGATAACCACATCAGAAAAAAGGAAGTGAGTAAAGGGACAAAGAAGGAGTTTGTGGAGAAACATGGGTGATAAAGGATGGCTATTGGTAGGTCCCAAAGAAAATAGATTACTTTGGGCTATGATGGGTTACTGAGAAACTGTTGAGTGACTATAGAATACACTAAGCCAGGAGTGGCCAGACTTGTTCAACAGAAGAGCCACATATGGTAAATGTCAGATGTTTGAGAGCTGTAAGCAAGTGTCTGTGGGCAGCAGGTGGTGAGCAGCAAGCAGGCGTTCATGGGCACCTGAAGCAGCAAGCCACAAAATAAACTCAAAGAACTGCACGTGGTTCCCAAGCCACATTTTGGCCACCTCTACACTAAGCCTATCTAGAAAATGTCTTTGGGAATTTTATTGGGAATTTGCCCCTTCAGATGTATCTAGAAGTTATGGTACATACATAATTTAGCATTCCTGAACAAAGGTCCTGGAACTTCTAGGAATCCATGGAATGCATGTAAAACATAATCATCTCATCATCTTTTTCCACATGAGCTGGCCAAGGTCCATATGCTGAGAACACAAGGATTTAGAACACCTTATCCTTTTATCTCTGCTGCTCAGATGCACTGTTCTTGTTGACAGTGCAAAAATAAAAAAGTTTAGATTTACCAAATTCATACTACTTATTCAATTTGAAAAGAATTTCATGGCTAGAAAACTTCAGAACTGCAGTTTAAGTGGAACTAAACAGATAAATACCTAGCAATGAGTAGTATTTAAACAGAGTAACTGTGCAGATTCCTTCATGCCTATGTATAGGACTACAAGTGTATGTATAGGACTACAATTACTAGAAGTGCACAGATGTGTTACTTGGATTGAGATCATTCAGGAGTTCATTGATATGACACAACTGTTAGACTTCGTATGCATAAGCATATAGGGTGTTTTCACAAATGGCACAATGAATGCATATTTCCAATTAATATGGCATTTTGGTATGTTGTTGTTACAGGTCTAACATGGAAACAGCCCAGGCAACTATAAATCAACAGTGGACAATTTGTGCCCTTCCAAATGTTTGGCCCACAACTTGTGCACTTCTGTATTAAACAGACATCTCTAACTACCTATTAATAATCTTTACTGAAGCTTGTTTCCCTGTATGTATGAACAGACCAGGTTTTAAAACCAGATGCCCAAGTACCATCACTAAAAATGGCTCTCCTAAAGGTGTGACCTTTCTAGATCAAAGTTGATCAGAAGCCAATTAAAAATGTGAAAATGCTGCAATGTGAACATCCATAATGCATGTGCATGTGACATCATTGCAACAAGCTGCATGAAATTTAAATAGAAATTTCTACATCATTTGTGAAAACTCCCTTTGTGTGCTCCCAGCTATCATCTATAGCCTGCAAACAGCTAAGGAGAAGTTACTCTAATAAAAATGCTCTTGGCTGTTGGCAAGAAGCCATAAATGAAGGACAATCTATTCTACTAGTAAAGGTGATATTAGACAAGATATGTGCTTTCCTGTACTGGTAGTTCATTAGAGCAACCAAGGTAATATTTATCTTTTTGGTACTGTCAGATTAACCCAGGAAAACAGATATAAGGACATTTCCTGGTGGATGAGACAGGATAAGTGAACAGATGGCATATACAATCTTTTTTTTTTCTGTTTGCATTTAAGGGAGAGCAAGTAGTAAAAAAAAACCAGCTCAAAATATATTATATTTCTGGCTTGTTGTTTTAGAATAATAATAAAGAATGTATTTTCCTATGTACTCCATCTTTTAAGTTTTATTTATGGAAATAACTCACTTTTACCCCTCTGAAAATTTTCTACAGGAATTCCATGAAAGTAAGAGATTCTTCAACACAGAGATGACATGCCCCTAAATATACAAGAAATGGAAGGGACCACAGGTAGATTTAGGCAATTGTTTAATATACATCAGGTCACACCTGGGGATACTGCAGTAAACTAAAGAGATAACTAAGTTAGCTTATCGTGTCAGAAACTACTAAAGAGCTCGCAAAACCTTACAGACTAGCAGAGCTTTCATGGCATAAGCTTTCACAGAGAACACTTCATCAGATATATGATTCTCCTCAGCTGACAGACATATACATGACATTGTATACAGTCTTGCTTTCTCTTTCTATAGGTGTGCATGTACTATATGTCTGCCAACTGAAGATAAACATGCATCTGATAAAATCTAGTCCATGAAATATGCCACATAATAAAAATCTTTAAGTGCTACATAAGACCTGATGCCATTTTTCACATACTCCAAGCCCTTCTAATATAACAATCTAAGAATTAGTATCTTACTTTAAAAGTACTTTACCGAAAACTGCCACACTCCTTTCTACAGATGTCCACAGACAACTAGGCATTCTGACCTTGTCACACCACAGCTAAATTATGCCTATCACTTCTACCCAAAATCTGTTTTTAAAGGGCTTGATCACCGCTAGAAATCCAGTGCTAGAGCATCCCCTACAGACAACTTTACTTTCACTGAAAGAAAGCTGACCAGGCATCTAAGAAACTGGTTCCATTATGCAACTTCTTTTATCATCAAGATATT